AAATTTATCAATCTATAGCAAGGTTTACCAAGATTAAAAAACACGAATTACCAATTTCAAGAGTGAAAGAGGGAAGATTACCACAGATTCTGCAGACATTAAAAGTAATAAAGGAGTACAATTAAAACAAACAAATAAACAAACAAACAGAAAAAAACACCTTGTGCCAATAAAGTTGACAACCAGGATGAAAAGAACAAATTTCTTGAAAAATAGTACTTAACAAAACATGCAAAAAAGAAATAGAAACTCCAAATAGCCATTAAAGAAGCAGTATTCTTAGTAAAAAAAAAAATCCTCACATTCATGAAAAAACTTCCAAGTACAGCTATCTTCACTGGTGAATTCTATATATCATTTAAGGAAGAAATAATACTAATAGAAATTCTTCTAAAAAACAGAGGAGGAAGAAGCACTCTCAACTTGCTATATGAATCTAGCATCATGCCGATACCAAAACCTGCCAAGCATATTTAAAATCAAGCTCAATCTCCCTCATAAGTATAGATACAAACAAGGATAATACTTCATGGACAAGGGATTTAGGTCAATCTGGTTTAAACATTCAAAATCATCTAGTGTAATTCATACCTTCAGAAAAAAGGAGAAAAATTATTTGACTATCTCTCAACAAATACAAACACTTGACAAAATTCAACATTTGATTAAAATATCCCAAGAAACTAGGAATTATAAGGGAACGTAGTCTAATAAATAATATTTATGAAAACCCCAGAGCTAACATCATTCTTAATGATGAGTCATTGAACATGATTTCCTACTATATGAAAAGACACAAATGTTTGCTCTTACAATTTCCACTCAACATTGTTTTGGAAATCCTAGACAGTGCAATAAGGCTAGAAAAATGAATAAGGGCATCAAGTTGGAGTAGAAGAAGTAAAACTTTTTATTTGCAGATCGTATGAGTGTACATAGAAAACCCTATAGATCCTGGGTGGGCTCTGGCTAACGATGGGGTGGGGGTGGTGTGGGCAGGGGCTATTGGGAGGCCACCCAGAGGGAGCCCAGGCTGTTCGCCCTGGGCTTGTCTCTACTTGCCTGTCCTCTCATGTTCTGGAGCTCAAGCTGGGACAATGGTGTATATTCTCACTCTGGTTCTGCTGTGGGTCTACAAACAGTTCCTGGAGCCATACATATACATTCAAAAATGTGATTTTTTATTTCCCCCTTTGAAGAAGGAGGATTCCTATGATTTCCCCCTTTGTTAGCCACAGGCAGCCTGGAGAAGCTATACAAGAATCCGATGATAAAAGCAAAGGCGAAATAGACTGTAAGGTTGAAGACATAAATGGATTTACCAGCAGAAATCTCTGATAAAAAGAAAGACTAAAGTGGTTGTGCCAGAGGACCTCACTGTTTCAAAATGGATCTGATAATCGAAAGCATCTTCTTCGTAATTGCCTCTTTTTCCTCTAGACCAGAAATTGGAATAGACAGTTTAGATATTTACCTGATACTAATCATGAAATACATGCTATTTATATTTTAAAATGTACTTAGTTATATTTAATGATCTCATTCCTGAGATCTTTTTTCATTATAGTAGCTTTCATGTCTATTATTTCAGTTTTAATAATATGAATAAATAGAAGGTTTGTGCCAGTAGACACTGAGACCAAATCAGCACCTAAACATACCTGGGCCTCTAGCTTTCACTCAGGCTCTTGGAATTTGAGTAGAGTGTATTTTTACTGTGAGGCAGTGAAGTGAGACTGTGTGGTGAAATGAAAGGGAGTTTTTAGAGATGATAATGACTTGAAATATCAAGTTATAATTACTGCCCAACACAATGGAGCAGCTTGTCTATGAGAGTAGTCATTACTGTTTATTGCTCTAAAGAAGAATAGCAAAGAAAGAAAATAGAGAAAATTTCTTTGAAAAATGGAACACCTTTTACATAAATGTCTAATATATATTATAAAATTGTAAAAATAAATAAAGAAAACCCTATAGAATATACAAAAACACTCATAAAATTAATTAACAAAGTCAGCAAGATCACAGGACACAAGGCCAATATACAAAAATCTATTGTATTTCTTTACAGTAGCAAATAAAATAAAAATAAAATTAATAAAATGAAATAAAAATAAAATTTAAAATACATTTAACAATAGCATTAAAAATGTGACACACAGGAAAATTTTAACAAAACATATGCAAAATATGAACTACAAAACACTGTAGAGAGAAACTAAAGTCTTAAAAGGAGACATAAACCATGCTTATGGACTAGAAAGTCACTATATATATTCTTGTAAAATGATCCGTGAACTCAAAGAAAATACAACCAAAGTGTTAGCATGTTTTTTTGAAGAAACTGATACATTTCTTCTAAAATTAACGGCACCAAACTTGCCAAAATAATTTTGAAAAAGAACAAAATTGGAGGTCTTATATTATCTGGTAAAAGGTATAAAATACCAGTGTAAGCCAGCAGAAATGTAGTCACTGCATAATAGCAAAAAAGGTTAATTGAGAGCAAGTTATAAAACTCCCAATGTAGTCATACTGCTATATTAATAAAAAATTATACCACCACCAAGTCACCTTGATTACTTCCATTTAGCAATATGTGTTTACTAACAATAAGCCAGTGTAATAATATGCAAAGAAATGAAGATAAAGTTTATAATACTTTTTCTTAATCTTTATCCAAGACATTTTTTCATTTGTTTTAGAGAAAGAAGAGGTGGGGAGAGAGGGAGAAGGACAAGGAGAGAGAGACAGACAGACATCAATGTGAGATGAAAACACCTTTTTGGTCTGTGGGATAACACTCCAACCAACTGAGCCACACTGGCAATGGCTAGAATGCTGTTTAAAAGAAAAACAAGTTTATTTATTTACTTTTAGAGAGAGGGGAAAGGAGGAAGAAAGAGAGGGAGAGAAACATAAATGTGCAAGAAGCCCCCAAGCACCAAACCATGGACCTGACCTACAACCCAGACATGTACTTGACTGGAAATCAAACCAGTAACCTTTCAGTTTGCAGAGTGACACCCAACTACTGAGCTTCACCAGTCAGGGCTAGAATAAGCTCAGAGTTAGCAAACTATTCAAAGACTATGGGAGGGTTAATGAAATAGAAGAAGACTTGAGAGTTAGTTTCAGAAGGCAAACTGACTCAGGATTAAATCCAGTTGGTGACCAGATAGGAACCAAATGTAAGTACAAGTATAGGAAAGTGACCTTCACTCCAGAAGAAGAGTATGAAGGCAGGCAGCATGTTCCTTTTGGCCATGTTAAGACCACATGATCTTGTATTTTCCCTGAGATTCAGGAATATTACCTCAACCCTCCTGTTGTTCAAGTTCAGAAATATGGAAGCCACTCTTGGTACGTAATACCAACTCTTATCCATCCTATTTCAATAATACATCTTAAAATCATCTACCTCTCTCTATTACATAGTCCAAACCACCATCATGTTTCATCTGGATTTAAGTTGCTTCCTTTCTGCATCTCTCATTCTCCTCTAACCCCCTCTAATCCATTCTCCAAACAACTTCCAGAGAGATCTTTATAAATGCAAATTGGGTCACAGCATTCTCTTGGTTATACCTCTAATGTGGTCCTGTTACAGTTGAAGTTCACAATCTTTAACTTGATTTTGAGGACCCAAATGATCTGACACTCATCTGCCTTCCCTGATGTAAATTCTAGGAGACAGAAAGCTCTTCTGCCTTGTTTACCATTCTATCCCAGTCATTAGAACCATGGCACATCATAGGTGATCAATATAGGTTTGCTGAAAGAATGAATAAGTGAATGAATGCTAGTTCCTTTACCCATGTGCAAAAAAAAAATGTGAGCACTTGTTTCTTGAGGAGGATTACCTTACCAGGAAACTAGAGTCTGACCAAGTCATGAGATATGTTCATTAAAAATATACATGCATTTCCACTGTGAAAGAAAAGAAAAGACAGAGGATGTTGTGTGAACACACAAAGTGTACATTATATGAGCAAATGGGGGAATATAGGAAGAAGTGAATTGGGAAAGGTAGAGAGAGATTTCATGTAAAAGTTAAATCCTGGGTAAGGGAACTAGTAAAAAAAGAAAAAAATGTACCAAAAAAATCTCCACAACAGCAGAAAAAAAAAGAGTAAGTATAACTGAACATATAAGACGTAGCAGACAGGGCCAGCCAGCAAGATCCTAGACAAAACATTAGTCTTTTTATGAAGTTTACAAAGGAGTTGCTAGGCTCTCAGCTGTATGCCTACCAACAAAGACAAGATAATCCAAGAGCTGATGGTCAACTGGAGTTGGAGGCACATCAGGACAAGAGAACAAGTCAGTGAAATGTAGAACTGGTCACCTATGCCTAGTAGACTATTGTCATTTCTCATGTGGGGAGGAATAGTAATTTAAACTAGACTTGTCTGCATAAGTTTATTTGTAGATGGGGTAGTGTCAGATTTTGGGCATTAATTGGGTTATGTAAAGCTCTAATTTTATGCATGGTGAAATAACAAGTTCCTTTCAAATAATCCCTTTATGATGATGATCTCAGTTTAAAAACAGCCAGTGTTCTGTTGTGTCTCATGGTGACAGCATTAGCCACCCTCACAGCACAGTCCTATGTTCTTGGATGGCTAGCAGCAGAATGGCACTAGGAGGGGACCAACTCTGCCCCCCAAAAGCTTACAATGAGGAGCTGGTTTCATCTCTTGAAGTTGTCCTAAAACAAGGTCCTAGCATACTTGGCCATCACACAGAGCCCACACACAGGCCTGCCGAGGTTCAGCATCTATCTCTTCAGCTCTCCCCCTGTATTCAGGTGTGTGCACACACACACATACACAAGTCTGCCTTGTTCTCATCCTTTCATTCTCCATTTGGATTTTCCCTTCATTTCTTTCTTTCTGTCTTCCTTGCTTTTCAATTTGGACTCTAAGGATAATTATTGTTTCTCAAAAACAAACTCAAGTCCCCTCAGAAAGCCCAGAAATAGAGCCCAGGTTCTCTACCTGTTACCTTCGAGCTCACACACGTAGTTCACTACTGGGGACCAGTCAAAGGCCCCTGGCTCCTTCCTCAGCCACTTCTGCAGCTCCTGCAGGTTCTGGTCAGTGTAGTCAGTAGCAATAATCTTCTTGAAGGATTCACAAGCAGAGAGGAGCTGATAGATGGTGGGACCAGAGCCAATGTCAATCAGGAGATCTCCCTTTAGGCCACCTGGTGTAGAAGAGGGGCCAGGAGGGGATGTCAGATTTTACATGGCAGCAAATAGAGTTGCTTTGCACTGTCTTTAATAGCATTGCAATGGAGAGCCCCAGTGAGAGCCCCAAAGACAGACCATCTCTCTCACTGGTAGACTATCACAACTCACTACTCTTACATCAAAGTCTTTTTTTTAATGGCTTTTCATTTTACATTCCCCACTCCAGGCTGGAGGCATGCTGCTAGGATATTTTTAGGTCTAGGAGAAGGAAAAAATGATCTGCATCTGGTGTACAGGCCCATGATCCAGGAAAACTGCTACACAGAAAATGTTCAAACTATTAAGGAATACTTTGGGGGAAAGTTAAATTAGTTTTTAAAAATTGACTTTACATAATGTCTTTATCCAAAAAGCATCCAGTTATTCATTTATTGAGAGATCTTCATCTCATGCATGTTTACAACATTCCTTTGAGTGAGGAACACAGTATTAGAATCTCCGTTTCTTAAGTGGCCTATTACAAGGGTTAAATGGCTGACTCTGTCACATAGCAAAGCCATGCAGAAACAAAGGCAGCACTCCCACCCTCTGGTTTTCCTTTTATATAACCATACAAGGTAATGGACATAGAAGCACTTTGCAAACTTTAAACTATCCACACCAACATTAGTTTTTTATCTTAGCTACATAAGTAGGTGATACCAAAATGGCTGTCAAGTAGCAATGACTAGACAGAAAACCCAGGCCTGCCCTGAGAGCCTATTGACTCATGTTTGGGAAAGGGAGGGACAGGAGACACAGATAACAGACAAACTTACCCACACAGAATATATTGAAAAGATTTTTCAGAAGAAGCCTAAGAACCTGGTTTTCTGCAGAGTGTCTGGACCCAAAGCTGTAATATTTTTCTAGATAATCTCGAGGGTTAAAACGGCTCAGGTAGGTGTCCTTGGAGGTAAAGTCGGATTCCATCGTGTCTCTCACCACTAGGCCACCCGTCCACTGCCCTACCTCTCTCTCTTCCAGGAGCCAGGGAGCCACCCTGCAGAAACTATCCTCCTGAGTCTCTGGTTTTCAACATTTCTTCTGTCAGTTCAGGCCACCCCTTAGGGACTTGGTTAAACACTAACTGAGAGAAATATACCGAAAGTGTTTGGCTGTTTTAGAAAATGATGAAATTCCTGGAGAAGGCATTCTAGGATAAGAGGGGAGGGGCAGGAGAAAGAACATGAACTGCATGCAATGTTGGCCAGGAGTCGAAGTTCAGCATGTAAGGGATTATAGACAGGAGAGATCAACTGGACTCATCAGGGAAATGATTGAACTCATGGAAGAACCACTAAGTTCAGACAGGTCATCTCACAGCATTCATTCTTCTCCTCTTTTTAGAGTGATTCTCCCAGGAAAGAGAGTCACGAAGGATGATTTAAATTTAAACATGTTAAAGAAAGAAGAAAGGAGAGGACAAGGATAAGGATAGGAAATGTGTTCGGGGCTGAGGAATGCTGGCTAAAAAAGGAACCTCAGATGAAGTCTGGAAAAAGGAAAGGTGAAGAAACAAGCTAAAAATCCTGAATAAGGCTTTCCCTCATGTGTAGGCCAGCCACAATCTGTAACCCTCTCTTCATGCTTCACCCGTCCATCCTCTCCCTGTCAATATACAGCTTCGTCCCCCACTCCATCTCTCAGATCTGGCAAGCACTCCTTCCTAAGCCTCCCCACTCCTTTCAGTCAATCTGAATCCTGACAGTTCTTTCAAAGTGAAGCTTAAGCCTTCTACTTCCTGTAAGAACTCCTTAAATTCCACTTTCTGAACTCATGCCCTAGCACTTTATTTTGTGGTATCAAATATTTGTTCTCTGTTTTGTTGATATTAATGTGATTTCCCAAACAAAATTTTACAAGTATGATAGACTAAACTACCAGCTCTTTTAGACCAAATACCATAGTTTTGTTTTCTTTTCATTCCCTATTAAACATCACATGCTGATCTACCTAGTAGGTGTTCAAAACACTGGTTGAATAGCTGACTGTCATATTGCACCAAATGCAGTTGCATTTAGTGCCTGGTATTCCATGGATGATGATTTAGGGATCATTTGGTCACAAGGCACAGAAACTCACTCAAAGAATCTCAAGTAAAAAAGGAATTATTAATAGGAGTGTGTAATGAAAACAAATTGCAGGTTGTCTAACAAGGTCTCATGAGTCAAAACATCATTAGACAACTAATGTCTCTTTGTCTCTATCTATCTATCTATCTCTTTCTCTCTCTCTTCTTGCCTCTCTTTGGCAGGCTAGAAGTCTACATTCTCTGCAAATTGGCCTTTTCTCTTACTCATCTAGTATATATGGCTCTATTCTGCCCGTTCCAAATGATGGGTATACTAGTAAAGAGGAAAAAATAAAGTTAATGAGTTTATGAACTTAGGAAAAGAACAGCAAATAGACATAAGTAGAAATAAAAAATAATAAAAGAGAGAAGAAACTAATGAAATAAATAACTAAGATACAATAGGGAGGATCAGCAAGGCCCAAAAGTTGGCTCTCTGAAAACACTAATAAAACTCACAATTTTTTTCATTTAGAATGATCAAGAAAAAACAAAGAGAAGTACATATACCCAAAGTCAGGAATAAAAAGGGGAACTTCATGTCAGATTCTGCAAACATTTAAAAGATAGTAAGATATTATGAACAACTTTATGTCAATATACTGAAATTTTAGACTTACAAGGTCCTAAATAAATATACAGCACTTACAAAACCTGAACATACCTATAACTATCAAAGAATTTAAATAGAAAATTATTCCCTTCAGGGAACATAAAACCTTCAGGGCAGATGGTATAACTATATATATATATAGTTATACACACATATATATACACACATATATACATACACTTGCAAGTAGCCTGGCATTTTATTTAGAATTCATAACTTTGTTTAGATTAACCTGTAAACTACTTTAGGTCACCTTATCTACTATAAAATTTGTGTAACCACATCCTGCAATTTGCTGAGAGCTTAACAGACAGGCTGAGACTTAATTACACTTTATCCATGCCTATGTCCTCCCTAACATTGACAATTGCCAGACCTGTCTTTTCAGAGAGAAGCTGAGGATGATTTGCGGAACCAGGAGGCTAACCTGGCTCAAACCACTGTGGCTGATCAGAGCAGCCTGGAGGAGTCTACACTGATTGCTTCACAAACTATTCTCATTATACCCTCATTATATTAGTAAAATCTACTCCCTGGGGTGGAGATTCCCAACTATTTTTTAACATGCCATGTATGCATAGGCATGTTTTCTCACTGTGCATGTGTCAGGATTGTCCCCACCTATACATGTGATGATGAAGCTCACCTTCATGTTCATGCCTGATTTCCCTGGCTGGCAACTACTGAGTCCCTGAACCCATTTCAATCCAGTAACAATAGCTTCACAAATCAGTTCTACCATATATTTAAGGAATCAGTAATACTAGTCTTACACAAACTTGTTCAGAAAATAGAAAAAGAGGAAACATCCCTCAATTACTTTTGTAAGTTCAGCAAAAGCCTACTACCAAGGTTATTTAGGAGAAAGAAAAATTATAAGCTAAAGTCACTCATGAACAAAAGTACAAAATTCCTAAATAAAACTAGCAAACACTTATATGATACCTACTATGCTCTAGGCCATGGTTTAAGAATTTTAGACATATTACTAAAGCTTACAGTAGTTCTGTGAGTTAGGCACTATTATTATCCCTATTCAAACATATGAGGAGACTAAAGCACAGAGAGGTGGAGGAACTTGCCCAGGTCACCCTGCCGGATAGTACCATAACCAAGTTTCATAGGTCGGACTCGAGCAGTCTAACTCAAGAGCCTGTTCTTTTAGTAATTACATTTTGACCAAGGTGGGTTTATCCCAGGAATACAAGAAGATTTAACATTTAATAATCAATTAATATATATAATACCACTTACATCTTAAAGGAGAAATACATTCTGATCCATTCAATAGGTATATAGAGAAAAAAAAAGCTCAAACTCAACATCCATTCATAATAAAAACAATTCTGGCAAACTGAGAATAGAATGGAACTTCCTTACTGTGATAAGGATTATCTGTAAAAACTTCAACAAACGTTACACTTTATAACGATTCATTTTAAAGCTTTTCCTTAGACTTGAGGACAGAGACAAGAATGCTGACCAATTTTATTCAACATTTTACAATGCCACAGGTCTTGGACAGCACAGTAGATAAGGAAAATAAATAAAAGTTATAAGGACTAGAAAGAAAAAAGATAAAACTATTACAATAAGCAGATAAGATAATTATGGTATATATATATAAATATAAATCTATAAATAAATTACTAGAACTAATATGAGTTTAGCAAAGTTTGTGGATATAAAATCAGGATAAAAAATTAAATTCATTTCTAACAGGTAACAGGTTTTTTGTTTTTAATCCTTGCCCAAGGACATTTTTTTCCTTTTCATTGCTTTTAGAGAGAGAGGGAAAGGGAATAAGAAAGAGGAAAACATTATGTGAGAGAGAAACATCAACTAGTTGCCTTCTCTCATACGTACCCCAACAGGGGATTGAACCTGCAGCCTGTGTGTGTGTGTCCTGACCAGGAATAGACCTGCAACCTTGTGGTCTATGTGATGATACTCCAGCCAACAGAGCCACACCAGTCAGGGCTAACAGGCAACAGTTATAAAGTGAAATTTAAAATAGACTTCACTCAGAATGGCATCAGAATATGTGAAGTACATAGGAATAAACCCAACAAAATATGTATGAGATGTTAATGGAGAAAAGTACAAAATTTTACTGAAAGACATTAAAGAAGACCTAAATAAATGGGGAAATATACTACTTCATAGATTGGAGGATTCAATGTTGTAAAGATGTCCTATCTCTCCAAATTGATTTATAGACTCCCAGGAATACAAGAAGTAAAATCTCAATTAAAATACCAATAGGTTTTTTTTTGAACTTGACAATCCAGCTCTAAAATTCATATGACAGTGCTAAGGGCCAAGAGTAGCTACTCCTGAAAAAGAAAAATAAGGTAGGAGGACTTGCTCTACTGGGAATAATACTTACTATAAAGCTAAAGTAATTAAGACTGTGTGGTATTGGTCCAAGGATTGACAAATAGACTAATGGAACAGAGTAGAGCCCATAAAGAGACTCACACCTTTATGAACATTTGATGGACAACAGAGGTGATATCTCAGCTCAGCAGGGAAAAAATACTTTTCAATCAGTAGTGCTGGAATAATGGGCTGTCCTTGGGGATAAAATGCAATTAGGACCTTCCATCACACATAAATCCATTCAGAAAGATTTAAAAACTATATATAAAGGGCAAAACTCTTAGGACTCAGAAGGTAATATAGAAGAATATCTTCATCATCTTGTGGGTAGAAAAAGAATTCAGACCTGAAGAGACCCTTTATAAGAAAGGTAATTCAAATAGCCAATAAATCTATGAAAATATGCTTAATCTAGTTATTGAAATGCAAATTAAACCATAATAAGATATTGTTACTTGGCCATCAAATTGACAAAAATAACATCTGTAACAGGGAATAAAAACTTTACATTACTCTGACTTACCATGAAATAGAATTAGAGTAAAATGTACTAGCAAACTGATAAAAAGTACCCACATACTGACAGATTCTCTGTAAGCATATTGTAAGCACCAGCAGTTCCAGTTCCTGCTTGTACAAGAAACGGCCTTGACCATGATTTCAGGTGACGTAGATCACCCAGCTACAGGAATTTGGCTGGCACCGATCAGCTCCAGGATGCTGACATTAAAGATCCATGTCAGGACCAGCAAGGACACTGCCGGCATGTCCACAGCCTCTACCCTGATCACTTTGTTCTCCTCGTCCCTCTCCCTCCTTATAAATACCCCTGCCTGCACTGAGATGGGGAGATGGGCTTTGGGACGAGAGTCCCCCATCCTCTTGGTTGCAGGCACCTGAATAAAACCTCTTTCCTTTTTCACCAGCACCTGTCTCACAAGTTTGGCTTTCATTGCAGCAGGCAGCAAGGCTTAGTTTCAGTTACATGACCAGCACCAAGGATCACAGAT